CTGGTTGTTTTTTTATGTAGCTTCTCGTACTTTTTTTTGGTAAAAACAAGAGGGAAGTGTTACCTGAGTCATCTCTTAGAAAGAGATGAACTAGAGCTTATCAGTTGTGTGAAACAGGCAGCAACGTGCAGTTCTGGTCTGTCCTCCAGGCTGGAAGTGCAGGGAAGCAAAATGCCCTGCAAAGGACCACTTGGCTCCAAGAGCTCCAGGATTGACTTCCCCACCTGGGAAGTGGAGTCACAGCTGAAATACACGTGACTGCTTTAAAAGCCTTCACTGAAGAGGCATCTCAAGACAAATGACAGTATCTGCTTTGTAAGTCCTCTGCAGCCATCCTTAGTGGAAAATGCTGGCTTCATGGCTAAACACCTTAAACTGAGGTTCTGAAAGTACAGAAAGTCCTTCTGCTAAGGGCAGACTTTTTTTCAGCTGTGAATTTGTTGTAGGGCAGGGTTGTTCACCTGTGTGTGGAGCTGGATATATAATATAGTTTTGTGCTCCAAGGGCCCAGCAGTGCAGTTGATCCCATGCCACCTGCAGGCTGCAATGGGAGCAGCTGGTGGTTTCAGCATTGTGATCCTCATCTGTTTTCCTGTTCTTCCTGTAGGATGCTGACGTTTCTAATCAGATAATCCTTGTAGAGGACGTGCTGGCCAAGCTGTGTAAAACAGTGTATCCGCTAGCAGATCTCCTAGCTAGGCCTCTGCCTGAGGGAGTTGATCCACTGAAGCTTGAGATTTATCTTTCAGATGAGGACTTTGAGGTAAGGAGAGAGTGAGTGCACTCTTACTCTCTGCATGTGTGTCTAACCCTGCTGTGAAGCCAGTTGACAGCTTTGCTACTTGTGTTTGTATTAATGGCATATCCTCTGGTTTAAATGCAGGTTGCATTAGAGATGACAAGAGAAGAGTACAATGCACTGCCATCTTGGAAGCAGGTTAATCTAAAGAAGGCAAAAGGACTTTTCTGAGTTGTGTTTATTGGAGTGAGTACTAGAGGGATGTCTGTTTTCACTTTCTATGCCCTTCTGAAGAATTGTACCCCACATTTACAAAATAAATAGAAATAATCCAAAGTTATTAGTGACTACCTATCTGGAGGTGTGTAATACTATAAAAGGCCAAGATAACTCTTTGGAAATGGAATTCAATTTTAATAGTTAAAGGTAACATGTTTAAGCTCTACTCTCCTATGCACTTAAAGAGTAGTTTCTTGAACTACTGCAGCAGGTGTCCTTTGGCTATAATCAATACTTGCCATTTTTGTTTTTGAAGAAGTTCTCTTTGTAAAGTGTTATTTTGTTAGTTTGTGGATTACAAAGAATTTATATTTATATAAACACATAGAACAAATATGTATTTAACAATGCAATATATATTCACTTTCAAGACTATCATGTCAAAACTACAGAAAAGTAGCTGGATGGCAGTTGCTTTTACTGAATTAGCTATACTACCCATATGTATCTCTTATGCATTCATTCTGAAAAGTTTCTCTTTGCAATAGGTAATGAATTGTTCTCAGTGCTGCTTCAGGTGCTAAACTGAACAAAGCGTTTGTATTTATAGCATGGATTTCTGGAGAAACTATGCGAATCAACCTTTATACTTTATTATCCAAAAATGTATAGTGCCTTGTTTTTTGTGTACAGTTTATATACAAAAAAAAAAAAGGATTGGTCTGCATTTTGAAGATGGCTTAGAACGATCTCCTATGTTACTTTTATAATGGTAGAAATAAAAACATCTCAGTTTCTAATACTTGTTGTAAACATTAAACATGTCTTTTGTGATATAAGAACTGAAAGTAAAAGCTTCTGAATAAACTCTTAGCAATGCTCTGATCTGTCATTATTTTCTACCGTAATCTGTACTAAGTCATTGGAATATTCCAGAACATGGTATCTTATAAAAATATTTTAACCTTAGATATCTGCACGTGTTGTACAGACTTATAATTTGAGAAGCAGATAATGTAGAAAAAAATCAGAGTATGAGATTAAATTAGGTGGTGCAACACTTGAATCCTGAACATTGGAATGGTGACACAACTCCTGTATCCTTTGGATTGTCCCATTTTATACACAGAACCAAAATTATTATGCTGGTTTTCAAACTTTGAGAAAATCTTTTCAACCTTTGTGCAATTGGAAGTAAAACTTGAACTGAAAATGAGTGTGGCATTGTGTCTGTTCTTTCACTACACACCAGAGTCAAAATAGTTTTCATTCAGCTAATTAAGACATTGAATAGAATAATCAAGCAAAAATTTGCTATTGTTTTAAATGTTTTTCAGGCATTTGGCATTTCTGTAACAACTTGTGTGGTTCTCTTCTGGTAGCTTAGTGGATTTCACATTTTCATTGCTGCCAGCATGTTTCCTTCTGCTGTGGAGCCACACTCAGGGCTCCTGCCTGGGTAAAAAGTGATCACCTGCAGTGGTGCCTGTTCCTGCTCTTGCCATTCTTCGAGGCCCAGGGAAATGAAGTAGGATTTTTGAATACCTGAAATGTAGAGTTTGCACTAAACATTGCTCCATAGTTAAAAGTATACTTATTTGACAGATCAGTTGGTAAGTTACAAGCTATCCCTTAGGTAAATAAACCAAAAGCCTAGAAATCATAGAATAGTTAAGGTTGGAAGGGACCTTAAAGATCATCAGGTTCCAACCTCCCTGCTATGAGCAGTGACACCTCACACTAGACCAGGCTGCACAAAGCCCCATCCAATCTGGTCTTGAACACCTCCAGGGAGGGGGCACCAACAACCTCCCTAGGCATCCTATTCCAGTGCCTTACTACCCTCATGGTGAATAATTTCTTCCTCATGTCTAACCTAAATCTCCCCTCTTTCAGTTTAAAACTATTACCCCTTGTCCTATCACTGTCCTCTCTGGTGAAGAGCCCCTCCCCAGCTTTCCTGTAGCCCCTTCAGGCACTGGAAGGTGCTATAAAGTCTCCCTGGAGCCTTCTCTTCTCCAGACTGAACAGGCCCAACTCTCTCAGCCTGTCTTCATAGCAGATGTGCTCCAGCCCTCTGATCATCTTTGTGGCCCTTCTCTGGACCCTCTCAAACATCTCCACGCCTTTCCTATGATGAGGGCTCCAGAGTTCTACTCACATGACCTGAGATATTACACGTGTATTTTCAGCTCTGGTGTATCCCCTTTCATTCCTGGCTTCCATCAAGAACAGAAAATAACCTAAGAAAAGCGTAGCAACAGTATTCAGAACCAGAATGCTTCTTACATAGCCTCCAGCAAAAAGCAAGATGTTGAGATGTCTGGTAGTTCCTCAGAGGTCCTCAGCTGTATCTTCTGCATGGGGGACACTCTTAGTTTGAAAATGCAGGGCTTTATAGAGACAAGTTTATTTTTCAAGCACAGAGAGTTTTCCAAAGTCACTGCTGTATTAATCTAAGTATTTTTGCAGCAATTTATTTTCCTCATTCACCCCATCTAGTGATAAAATCAAGCAGGAATTACGTTTTGTTTATTCATGTTCAATCTGTACCGTGGGGGTAACAAGTTCCTCTGTTTTGATTTTTCTCTCCAACAGCGAGCTGATTTGCATAGCATGATTGACCTTGTTTTTCCCTCTGGCAGGGTAGTATCTTTTGCTTTTGTTTTTGAAAACACCATCAGTCCTCCAAGTGCTGCTGAAGGGCAACATCCACCCACACTTAAAGCCTTTAGCAGCTCAGCTAAAAGAAAAACCAGCACGGGGACCTGCAGGCAGTGAAACATAACTCAGGGCTGTCAGCTCTCAAAGTTAACATAATTTTTACAGGATTTGGTATCTAATGTCTTAGTTCTAGGAACTGGGACACGGAGCCCAAATCCTTGCTCCTAACACTGCCTAGGAAAGCTTGAAAGTTTTGCAGAAAGTAAAGTATTTGTATTGTCCTTAATATGCTTGTTACTTACCAAAACACTTTCCTCAAATGTGAAGCTGATGAGGAGGCAAGTCAGCGTAAGGCCTCAGAAAGAATTGTGTGTTCTGCTTTAATTTTCTGCCACCTTTCCTCTTCACTGTGGGGATGCTATTTACAGTTGCAAATTGGAAAGGGTTATTAAAATCTTCTTGAACTGTTTTTATAGCACTGCATGGGAAATAAAGCTGAAACAGGGTTTGTCTGGGTATGGCGGTGTTCTTTGCTTGCTTTGCTGTTACTCAGTGTTGTTCCCTTATTTCAAATGGAGCCCCAAGAACACAATGTCTTGGGTGAATTCAGAGGCAAAGTATCTGGTCCAGGGACTCTGTATGTGAGAAAGGCAGTACCTTGAACACTGCATTCTGCAGCTTCCAGGCCTTGAGCCATGATTCTTATCTCCTGTGTTTTTAAACTGCTCAATCCTGACTTTAAAATATTGCTCTCTGAGTACACAAACATTCCTGCACACGGAAGGATTTGTTAGCAGTGAAATGGGCTGGAGATATGAACACATTAGTATGCCAAAACAGCAAATAAAACATGTCTGAAAAATCTGCAGCCCGGATGATTTCAGCCAGAAAAGGAGGGAAAATGGAAGTTACAGGGAGAATAAACAAAACTTTAACAGTTTGGGAGAGCTTGTTTCTATCTACTGCCATCCCACCAGTCTCCCAAACAGGTATTTAGCTGAGCAGGAGTTGTGGATCCATGTGCACAGCTGGTAAAAGCTGATTCTGATCTTTTCTGAAATCTTGTGGTGCTCTCATGGTAGGGCAGGTGCAGAGTAACCTCGTGTGCAGTGGGGCTCCGAGGCTGATGTGGTGCCATCTGCATGCTGGAGAGCCTTTGGAACTGACTCACTCCAAATTTGCCTTTTGCCTTTTGGATCAAGTAGCAGATGAGGAGAAATAGCTCAAATAATAATCTCCAAAATGCCTGCTTTCCATATTCCCTTCAAGGGATACTAAAGCAGGTTTGCAATCATAGGTCATTGTTGCCTAGAAGCAGGAGAAAGCAGCCTGAACACCCGAGGTGCCACTCAAACACAGGAGGCCTCTGTCCGCCTGATGCACTCTCCCATTATGTTGCTGGGAGATGCTGCTGCTCACACACATGGTCCCTGCCCACCCTTTAGGATCAGTGTCTCTCAGTTTCACAGTGTTGGCTGCAGGGCACTCCACTTGCTCTGTGAGTCACAGGTGATCTCAACCTCCCTTTTTGGCAGCCCCTGGACCTGTTCCGTATCAGGAAAGTTTCGTGTGCGACTTTCCAGTTTGTGAGACCTGGGGGATAGGTGGGATATGCAGCCAAGTGGCAGTATTTCTCTCTCCAGTAGTGCAGTTGGCAGCCCTACCTCATGAGAAGACAGGCTTGCTCGTGTTCCTCTGCACTCTGGGGTGGCAGCATGAAGCAGGAGCCAGTTGTGCAGGGACTACTCCTGGAGCTGGAATGCCACTGAAGAAGCAAACCCAACCAGCTGATAAAGCTGCACACTCTGGAGCTGAAGCAAAGTAAAACTTCATGTCTGGCTTGTGCTTCTCCTGAAGTGCAGCATATTTCAGAGGAGTGGTGAAAAATCATAGAATCATAGAATCTTAGGGGCTGGAAGGGACCTCGAAAGATCATCTAGTCCAACCCCCCTGCCAGAGCAGGGGCACCTAGAGTACATCACACAGGAACTCATCCAGGTGGGTTTTGAATGTCTCCAGTGAGGGAGACTCCACAACCTCCCTGGGCAGTCTGTTCCAGTGCTCTGTCACTCTTACAGTAAAAATATTTTTTCGGATATTCACCTTGAACCTCCTATGCTCCAATTTACACCCATTACCCCTTGTCCTATCGCTGGTCATCACTGAGAAAAGCCTAACTCCGTCCCCCTGACACTCACCCCTTACATATTTGTAAACATTGATGAGGTCACCCCTCAGTCTCCTTTTCTCCAAGCTAAAGAGACCCAGCTCCCTCAGCCTTTCCTCATAAGGGAGATGTTCCACTCCCTTAATCATCTTCATAGCTCTGCGCTGGACTCTTTCGAGCAGTTCCCTGTCCTTTTTGAACTGAGGGGCCCAGAACTGGACACAATACTCCAGATGTGGCCTCACCAATGCAGAATAGAGGGGGAGGAGAACCTCTCTTGACCTACTAACCACACCCTTTCTAATGCACCCCGAAGGAGGGACCACCATATGCTGTGTGCACACCATCGTTCCTGCAGCTGAGCTCCTTTGCCTTTGGGTCCTCCCGGCCCTTTATTCCTCAGGGAATCAATGCAGTGTGCCCAAGTGCCAAGGCAGCAGGCATACGAGCACAACCTCAGCAGCTCAGACTGTATCTTCAGTCTTTTATGCCAGATCTTCTGCTCTCTGTAAGGATGTGCAGCCCAAGGGACAAAGCCACAGTCCTAGGCAAGGGCAGAGGGCAGCCCCATGACTTGAGGCCATCATGCAGCCCAGACATGCTGCCAAAGCAGAAGGCACTAGTTGTCCTCTTGGCAAGACCATAAAGTGCCATTTGTGTAAAGCTTTGTAAATGACTCCTGCTCAGTGCTGCCCCTCTAGATTAATGCAGGAGTATAATTTCACAGCAAGTATACCAGGCTCTGGACAAATTTCTTAGATACTATTGCTAAAAGATACAATATTTACACACAAGAAACAACTTTGCTTTCTGCTCTCTCATTGCAAGAAGCAGCCAGGGCATTTGAAGAAAAACTTACCTTTTTAAGTAGAAGGTAGAGTCAGTTGTAGAGATTCATAGTAAAAAATACTGAATGCATCTGAGGTCCCTGGCTCTGCTGCAGGTGTCTGCATGCACAGCCCAAACCCTCACGGTCATGCATTTCCAAGCCTGTGACTCTACCAACCCAACCAAGCTGGAAGGGCCTTGAGGGGTTATATATCCTGACT